AAGTCGGACACTTAACCGACTGAGCCACCCAGGTGCCCCAGGATGGTCCTGATGAAGGAGGGTCTTAGTAAATGGGAGCTGTCTAGAGGAGCCTGGCAAGGGGGCACCCAGTGGGGGTTGGGAGTCTCTGATGGGAGATACCTAGGACAAAAGGAGCTCTGAAAGAAGAAGGGGTTTTCTGGTGGGGGTCCTGGAGGAAAGGGGCCTCCACGAGGGGACTCTCATGAAGTGACATGATGAGAGTAAGCCCTTAGTGGGACGATTTGGCTGGAGGGTGGAGGTGGTAAGTATTGGGGACCAGGGCCTCTGTTAACCATTCTTGCCTCCTGTCTTCCAGGCTTACAGCTTCGCCATGGGCTGCTGGCCCAAGAATGGACTTCTAGACATGAACAAGGGCCTCAGCCTGCAACACATAGGCCGGCCCCACAGCGGCATTGGTCAGTCCCTCCACATATACCCCTGGCAGCTCAGTCAGTCTCGTGCCCGCATGCCCCAGTCCCTTGGCACACAGAGGGGTCCTTTGGCTCATTCTGTGCTCTAACGGGGTGCTTTCCATAGCTGGGGGGAGTGGGGAAGGAGGGTGGAGTGAGGGGAGAGTGGAACCAGACCATTGGAAAAAATCTCTCAAAACACTATTTAGGAGGAGACTGGGATCTGGTCTTTGGGTGGGTCACAGGTGTCCTTGGATTCAGGCCGAGATATCCCTGACCCCTCCTGCATCTCTGGTGGGTGATGTCCTCAGAGGGGTGGGCACATGTCAGCTTACCCACCCCCCATGGAGCTAGAGGAGACTGTTTAATATTGTTTCAAGTCTGTGGCTACTAAACTGGGCGATCAATGGGAGTTAAGGAGATGAATTATTTAAACCTCACCAGCTTTTAATTAGTCGGGGTCCTTCTGACCGATGGCTCCGTCCACAGGGTATTGACTCCCCCGCAGGAGCAGCAGCCTCCATTGAGCGCTGCCTGGGTTGGGAGGGGCCACTTGGGGTACCAAGCGTGTGTGCACCCTCAGAGGGATTCCTGCCTGGGAAGGAGCTGGAGTGACTCTGGTTCTAGGCATTGGAGGCTCTGCTTCTGATATATCAGTATGGGTTTGGTGTGTGTGTGTGTGTGTGTGTGTGTGTGTGTGTGTCCCACTGACTCAGTCCCACTGGGTCCTCTACCACCCAGACTCCATGGTTTGTAGCCCCTCCTGCTCTGGGCTGCCAGCACTGCCTTTCAACATGATCCTCATTCCTGGTTCCTCCCTTTGATCCCACATCTATCTACTCACTTGTTCATTCAGCCCCCCCCACCCCAGTGAGTTTACTACATCTACTAGAAATAGTTTGCAGCACACATCACTGCCTCTTCATCAATTTGAAAGAGCCAGATAGTGTTGTTCTCTTCTCACAAACCTCCTGCCTCCTCTTTCAAAAACCTCATGAAAGGAGCCAACCTTAACTCCAGATGCCTCAAGACCTGCTTATTTGCTCATTTTTTTCCAGCTGTTCCCTAACCCAAATGTCCTCTCCTGTCACTGCACTACAGGAAATCATTTGTAGGTGTGTCTCCAACTGCTTTTCAACATGCCTTTATGCTTTTGCATGCATATTGCTCCTGGCAAGTAGAAAACCCTTCCCCATTTTTTTTTCTACCCAGAACCCTATTCATCCTTCAAGATCTCCTGATTCAAATGCTTTCTTCTTAGGAACTCCCCTGCTGGCCTCCCAAGCATACTCCGTTGCTAGTTTGGGCTTAGGTTGTATGGAATAGTTCTAAGTATGCTGGAACAGCAGTTGCTGTGGGCATCCCCCGACCCATTCTCTAGGCATGTTGACTGTCAAGTTTTTCTCAGACCACAAGAGCCTGTGGGGTGTCCAAAAAGAATGATAAGGAGTATCCCTGAAGTCAGTGAGATGTAAAGAAGCAGAAGTCACTTTTGGCATATGTGATGGGAATCCTCCCTTGGGGCAGCCTAAGTGTTCCTATCACATCCTCAGTACCCTGGGTGCACCAGTCTGACCCTGCCTCCTGGATACACCTCTTGAGGACAAGCACTTCCACTCAGCATGCCCAGCAGCTAGGCACCAGTGATGTCTGGTGGAAAGGATGAAGGGCTAGTCTGGTAACAGGTGACTGGGTCCTTTGGTATACCTTGCCAGTCCCCTCCATCACCATGCAGCTCCCCAAAGGTACACAGGTTATGATAATGTCACAGCACCTCCCAGGCTCACCCCACCCCCCACCACCACCTCCCCACTTGGGAACAAAGCTCATGCTTGTCAAATACCCTGTTTGAGGGGTGCCCGGTGGTTAGTCAGTTGGGCGCGTCACTTTGGCTCAGGTCATGATCTCGCAGCCTCAGAGTTCGAGCTCGCTGTCAGCTCCTCTGTGCTGACAGCTCGAGCCTGAAGCCTGTTTCAGATTCAGGCCTCCTCTGACCCCTCCCCCCCATTCACATGCTCTGGTCTCAAAAATAAATAAACTGCTAAAAAAAAATTTTTTTTTTAAAACACCGTTGAGTTATTTGTACGATCGCAGTGCTCACACACACGTGATACACAGAAATGAACGGATTCCCTTTCTGGTGATACACACACAGGCTGATGGTTACTTCCATATACAGCATACATGCCTGTGGAAAATGTACAGATATACTGTTACAATACACACACACACAACACACACACACACACACACACACACACACTAAACTGTACTGATATATCAGAAGAGCTCAATGCCTAGAACCAGAGTCACCCAGCTCCTTCCCAGGCAGGAATCCCCTCTGAGGGTGCAGCAATACACACACGCTATACCCTGCGGCTCCCAACCCAGGCAGCTTTCAATGGAGGCTGCTGCTCCTGGCAGGAGTCAATACCCTGTGGACGGAGCCATCGGTCAGAAGGACCCCCCCCCCCCACTAATTAAAAGTTGGTGAGGTTTAAATAATTCATCTCCTTAACTCCCACGCCTAGCTTAGTAGCCATGACTTGAAACAATATTAAACAGTCTCCTCTAGCTCCATGGGGTGGGTAAGTTGACATGTGCCCACCCCTCTGAGGACATCACCCACCAGAGAGCAGAGGGTCAGGACACTGCTCGAACTAAGCAACACCTGTGACCTGTTCCAAAGACCACACAGATCCCAAATAGTGTTTTGAGAGATTTTTTCCAATGGTCTGGCTCCACTCCCCCTCTCCCCTCACTCCACCCTCCTCCCCACTCCCCCAGCTATGGAAAGTACCCCTGCTAGAGCACAGAATGAGCCAAAGGACCCTGTGCAGTTAAGGACTGGGGCATGCGGCAATGAGACTGACTGAGCTGCTGGGTATATGGAGGGACTGACCAATGCCGCTGTGGGGCCGGCCTATATGTGTGCTGCGGTGGCTGAGGCCCTTGTTCATGTCTAGAAGTCCATTCTTGGGGCCACAGCCCATGCATGGTTGCTGTAAGCCTGGAAGACAGAGGCAAGAATGGTTAACAGAGGCCCTGGCCTCCCCAATACTACCACCCTCCCAGCCAAATCACCGTCCTCAAGGGCTTACCATCATGTCACTGTGTCCTCGTGGAGGCTCTTTCTCCAGGACCCCACCAGAAAACCCCTTCTTCTTTCAGCCTCTTTTGCCTGCATCTCCCCATCAGAGACTCCCCAACCCCCTCATCAGCTCCCCTTGCCAGGCTCCTCTAGACAGCCCCTCCCCATTTACTAAGACCCTCCTTCATCAGGACCATCCTGGGGCACCTGGGTGGCTCAGTCAAGGTTGGGTGTCCTAATTCTGCCAGGTCATGATCTCATTAGCGGTTTCCAGAGTTCTCACATCGGGCTCTGTGTTGACAGCTAGAGCCTTGGTTTGCTTCAAATTCTGTGTTCTCCCTTCTCTCTCTGTTCGTTTCCTCCCCGCTCACTTCTGTCTTCTCTCCTTCAAAAAAAAAAACAAAAAAAAACAAAAAAAAAAAAAAAAACGTTAAAGAAAAAAAATTTATCAGGACCATCCTGTCAATCAGGGCACCCCTTCAATTAGGTAGTCCTATTAGATTCTGCCTTTCCAGACTACCAGGCACTCTGCTGGCCCCCTCCCCACAGTATTGCTGGTCATAAAGCCTGGTGTCAGAAAGGACTAGAGAGACTAACATATCTAAACCACCTGATGCAGATAGGAACAACACTGAAGTGAGAGGGGGCCAACCACCTGCCCATGGTCTAATTGCTTTAGACTGAGAGGCAGGCCAGATTAAGGGAAGAATCATGTGGCTCAACTGAGGAGGGGTAAGGTCTCAAGCAGCTGTGATGGGAACATATGAAGAGAGAGAGAGAGAGAGAGAGAGAGAGAGAGAGAGAGAGAGAGAGTGAGACATGAGAGA